TCGTTGTCGTCGTCGTCGTCGTCGTCTGTGTGTAGTGTTGTGTGTGTGTGTGTGTGTGTGTGTGTGTGTGTGTGTGTGTGTGTGTGTGTGTGTGTGTGTGTGTGTGTGTGTGTGTGTGTGTGTGTGTGTGTGGTCCCACTTCTCCTTTTATCTGTTTTTAGATTTTGGTGAGTTTAAACTTTATGGGAAATGATGGGAAATACATTTTTTAACTTTAATTACCAGCATATGTAGGGCAAAGCATGTGTTTGTGTTTCTGCCACTGATGTGTTTTTCTCTGTATGTCAACAGTACTCAGAAAAAGAAGACAAGTACGAGGAGGAGATCAAAGTCCTGACTGACAAACTGAAGGAGGTGAGATCCTGATTCTACTGATCACACTATATGATTATACACTGCATGATTTCAGACTGAAACAAACCATCTATGTGGAAACACACCTTTTAAAAACTCTGGGTCAAGCATCACAGTCTCCGACGCATACAATGTAACTGCAGCGTCTCTGGATTCAATCCGGCCAGGTTGCACATCACTTAGCTTATCTATTTGCCTCTGCTGGATACATCTCAAACAAGTGCAAATGCCATATACGCATCCAGGCAGCACACACCACCTCAAAAACACTTCAATGTGGGCACACAGAGTGAGATAGAAAGCAGCTGGATGCAGCTCAGAAGGCAAATATAACAAGTTTTCATTGCATACTTTAGATTATATTTTCCTAAATTGATAATGTAAGCCAGTCCTTATTCTTCTTCATCTCAATATCTGCATGCATTCAAATTGTAGTTCGTAAAACATGGCATCTATAAAGAAAACCTGTAGTCTTATTTGTTGAATTCACTGTGTAACATATTGTGTGTGTTTCCGTCAGGCTGAGACCCGTGCAGAGTTTGCAGAGAGGACAGTGGCCAAACTGGAAAAGTCCATTGATGATCTGGAAGGTATGAGATCAGCAGCACTCACAAGTCATGGTGTTGCAACCCTTTGTCTGCACCAAAATATACATATTTTCAACACAACCTAAAGACAAAGGCTATTATTCACTGGCTTTAAAAGAACAACCAGGAAACAAGTTTGTTGATGAAACACAAGGGGGCAGTTTGTGAGTTTCCTGCAGGTCAGAGACTCTAATCCATCTTAATGCATTATTACACTCAGTTTCACATAGACTTCAGAAGGAGTGTCCTACTTCAGCAACACTGGATATATGTATGTGTAAAAGAGTGTGCTAAATATACTGCATGAAAGGGGACACAATGTGCTGAGGTGTTTTCAGGTCAGCATTATTTAGTTGTTAACCACAGGAAGCTGAGTTATTGGAGTGTTTGTGAGGCATTCAGGGCGGGTTTAAAAGCATAAAGGCTTAATTAGATCAGCATCATTCTTTCTTCTTTGCATTTCTGCATCTTTAAAAAGCCTGACCTGTTTTTTTTTTTGTCTTCTCCTTCCTCCCTCCGCCTCCCTCTGCCTCTCATTCTTTCTGCTTTTTGTGTCGCCGCTGTCCCTGACACCTTCCTGTCGACCTCCAGATGAATTGTACGCTCAGAAGCTGAAGTACAAGGCCATTAGTGAGGAGCTGGACCATGCCCTCAATGACATGACGTCTCTGTAGACTCTCTCGCTGCCTCTCACTTCCCTTTCTCTGCCGAGTGCTTCAAACTCATCTTCTCTCTCTGATCGTACTGTACGTGCCTTCGTCCCGTCTCAGTATGCAGGAAATGATTCATTAAAAATATGTTTCTTTCCTACTTCACAGCTTTTGTCTCTATTCTTGTTTATTCATGCAAGTAGAATGTTTGAATCATAACTTAAAGAGACGTAATGTTTGTGTTTCATATTTGTATGTAGTGTCTCTACTGTGACATGTCTCCATGCTTTAATGTTCAAAACGCTCTTTATTTTTCTCATACTGCCTGTGCTGCAGCACCTCTTTTCATCCTCTGTCTGAAACCAGAGCCCAGTCTGCTCTGATTGGTTAGTTGTCCAGCTCTGTTATAAATGGTCGAGCAATTAGAGATTTCCCAACGCTGAGCCTATCATGCATAATGTGTTAGTTAGAGCACTAGCCAATAGAAGCACAAGTGTTACATAGTGATATCACTCTG